ATAATAAACAGAATATTACATGGCCGCTTGGAGATACGAATTTTATCTTCTCGTGTTGAAAATCTCTCACTCGTTCGCTGCGCTCACTTGTGAGAGATCTTTTCAACACTCAAAGATAAATTTCGTATCTCCGCGCGCCCATGTAATATCCTCTATTTATTCTTCTAAAACTTATCCACTTGTATAGAATATAAGTCTATATGTATGCATGAACTTTGATCAGCATACTCACCTGTCCCAAGCTGAATGTCCTTTTGTAATCCCCATGAATATCGTAAACTGACACACTTCCATTTACACCTATACACAGTAAGTCTTCACTAGCTGACCAGCCTATCTCCACCAGTGGCCCACCATCCCACTGAAGCACAGAAACAAAACAAAAGCAAAAATTTATAACAAAAAATTATTATTATGAATTTAGATGCATCACAATATTGATATGCTTTCATTGGTTATTCATTTGTTCATACTTAAAAATGTACCAATAATTTCCTTCCCAGTTTCTTGCAAGGGAAAGTAGCTGTGCCTGTGCATTGAAGTGAGAACAGTGGTGACCGTGCAATGATAGAGACATGTGAATATAATTGTCCAAGATATTAAAAATGTCTCTATAATTGCAACCTCACTGCTGTTCTTGCTTTGATCCACAGGCAAAGTTATCTTTCAAGATGGTACAGTGAACCTTGAAGGATAATATTCTATATTTTGTCCCTCCTTATTCGTTATAGTCACAAATTGTTGATTTCATAAATACCATGTTAGTTAAAGATTTGACAATTGGCGGCAATGTGTTTTGTCCTCTTATTCTCTTTGAAGGGCAGCACACATGAATCTCTCAGTTTGGTAGGCATAAGTTATAATTGCATCTTTGAACTGTATTACAATGTAATTTCATATCAATGTTGCCTTACCCTTAATGATGACAATTCTTTTCCTGCTGATGAGTATATTGATATGATAGGTTTATTGATGACAGCCCCAGTATGTTTATTATCAGGCATCAAAGCTATAGAAAAGAAACAAGCAGTCAGTTGCTGCAAACATGCAAAAATTGCATTTTTAGGGACACTTTTCAGTCCATTATATCAGACAGAAGTAAATTTTCCATTGATTTGAAGAGAACCTTGTCACTGTATAAGGACGGTAATGAACTAGGTACAGTAGTAGTACTAGGCCAAAGCTACACAAAACATAACAACCTGTACATTTCAAATTAATGTTAAATCAATATTTTTCATAACCACACAAAATAAGCTTCAATACACCTACTTAGCTTGGGCACAATGTTCTCCCACTTCAGACCACTTGTCATTCCCTAGAGTATGATTTCTATGTTTAATAATTGCGCAAGAGAAGAAACATGAATATCGATACCATTCAAACAAAGAATCTTATTCTCTAGGGAATGACACATGGTCTGAAATGGAAAAAAAACATTATGTCCAAGCTATCTACAAAACACATTCTTACCAATGGGACCTCCATAAGATGCGGCTGTTACAGTATAGTTCTCAAGGTTGATATCTTTCCATCCCATGGAATAGAGTTCCATCTTCCTATACAAATGACAGCATAACAAATTTGAGAAACAAAATAAGTTGGAGGGGGGAGGCAGAGGGAATATAGCTAAGACAAAAACTAATGGGATTGAAAACGAACTTATGAAACAAGATGTGCAAAGGGAAAGGAGATCGAAAATAGCTGACATTTATCAAATAATACCAATATAAAAATTCCTGTGGAATTTTTGAGCGATAGTAATCGCCTTGAATGATAACTTTATTGTTTTTATTAGATGATTTCAATAATTGATCATTTGTATTTTATGTCACATGATTGAGTGACTGATCTTTGAGTGATCGTTATTTATTTACCTATAGAAAACTTCGCCCAGTGGGGTCCAGTCGCCGGTAAAATGAGCCATGATCCAGATCTGTACACCTGAATGAGCTTATTAGATTATCAGGATATCATTAGAGTCATTTAAACCCAGTACATGATCACCCCCTCCTATTCCCTCTAAACATTTTAATGACTTCCTCGAGCCCACTGACACAGTGTTCAGTGGTGACTCATGAGAGAAAGGGAACCCAAACTCGATTTTAGTCAAATAGGCTCCGATTGCACTTAAACTTGGTTCTAGCTAAGAACAAGACACGAAAGGAAGGTAGAATGAAAAAAAACATTAAGAGCTTTGCTAAAATCTCAGACAAACAAACATTTCTCGTTTCATATTGTTATCACAAAAAACATGTTTGGGTTTCCTGTGGTATCCCATGAGGTAGCTGGGCAGTGATCCAAGATGGCGGTTCCTAAAGCCAAGGGTTACAGACCAAGATGCTTCTTTGATGTCACTATTAATGGCGAAAAAGGTATTGAACTGTCATCATCCTGCCTGTTATAGATATATTACTACCTCGTGGAGGTCCTAGTTGAAGTATTTGTACGTGTTGCTGTATTTTTTTGGGTGTTTATTTGGGATGAAGTTGAGTGACTACAGACAGCGTCCCGTTGATCTTGTTTTGACAGCACGTGGAAGAGACAGTAACACCTTATGATCTGTCAACACCAATATTTGTCTTAAGCTTTTGCTGGTAACGATAAGTTTCTGCTTGTTGTTTGTATACAGAATACAGTTCAGGGTCTTTTAAAGACCCCTCTCTGTTTATTTATTGAAACTTTACAATTCAACTCAGCTGGTTGGGTAAAACCAATTAAATAAGAAAAGAAGAGGGCACAAGTATTGAATAACCCTAACTTATCCCATTGTGATCAATCAAATGATTTGGAAATGCAGTTCCATAGAATGCACTCACATGATTACATTCGGCAATCAAACGAAATCAAATTGTAAATATTTTAAGAACAGAACTACACTTTTGAGTTTCAGACCAAATTGTAAATGAATTGTGAAATCGATTGCATTCGATTTCCAAATATAATCAAATGTTTGATTGCATTGAATAATCGATTACAGGGACCACAAAGACGGGGGTCCTTTTCCCATACTAGTCTCTTATATTTTCCAATCTCAGTACCATTTCTTTGCTTGATGGTTGCACATGATAAGATAAGAGGATGACATGTGAGAAAACAGGCCCAAGCTTAAAAGTTTTTTATATATTTTTTTTTTTTCCCCCCCCCCCCCCCCCCCCTTAGTAGAATGCTAGTCCAATGCAGGTTATTCTGTATGACATACTTTTTTATTTTTTTCAGCTGGAAGAATCATCTTTGAGTTGTTTGCTGATGTATGCCCAAAGACTTGTGAAAACTTTAGATCTCTATGTACAGGTATTTCTGATAGGTTTTGAGTTTTGATTCTATCATTTTAATATTTTATATATTGAGGGTCTTGATAATAGGTACCAAATGATTAGTTTTGATTGACGGCAGCAAAAAAACTAAATTGTAATGTGCAGCTCGCAGTTTATGAAAATGGCAGTTAAGACTGTGGAGGGGCATAAAATATTTGAATACCATCACTCAATATCCAGACATCCTAATATTTGCTTGATCCCCTCTATAAATAATTATTCCATTCAAATTCTTTGACTGTTACTATTTGTATTTGCACATTTTCCTTAGGAGATGCTGGTGTAGGGAAAGTCACTGGCAAACACCTTCACTTCAAGGGATGCCCCTTTCACAGAGTGGTCAAAGATTTCATGATCCAAGGAGGGGATTTCACTTCAGGTATAATGGCAGGGTATAGCTAGAAGGTCCTATATGAAGCTTACACACATGGATCTTTTTCACATACAGTAGCAGCTATTTTGGTAGGAACAACGGATTCCACCAAGCATAGCTTCTCAAGTGTCTGAGAATAAATATTTATGGGGGTTAACAAATAGTCACCATGTGATAAAGTGCTATTATAGACCTTTTGTAAGTTGAAAAAACAGGATGCATTCTGGTCTAACTGCAGTACAAATATTACTAAATAAGTATATATATGAAAAATATAATAATTTATATAATATGCGCCTAAAAATATGTCTCAAAAACAGACGTGTCTCTTAATCAGTGTTGAAGCCCTACTGTACGTGCACAAGCAGATGTATATTTTTCATACATATACATGTACTCTTTACACTACTACACAGTTCATCCTTTAACTGGAAATTCTCAATATTACTATATTATTACATAAGATATGGCAAATGAAGATGTTTGTTTAAGATATACCATAATAATTGACCATATTCGCTACTACTGATGTTAGTGAACTGGATTTTTCACACCAGGAAAACATGACATGGTTGCACCTCCAAATGGCCAAGACTTTGCCAACGAAAATCAAACCTTTAATATACATTCCTTTCTCAATGTGTAGACAGTGGCATGTTTTTCAGCCATGAAAACCCAGTTCGGTGACATCTGTATTATCTTAGAAAAGAACAGAACAACAAAAGTGTAGAGTAAATTTTGATCCCAATTTTCATTTCATCCTGCAGGAAATGGCACAGGTGGAGAGTCCATATATGGTGGTACTTTTAATGGTAAGATCTGAAATATTTATGACTAAGTTCACATAAAGATGGGCCAGATAATCCTTTCTTATTAGATGACTATGGCATGTCATATATTTATACATATGCATGCCATATACTGACAACCCAAGTATAGGTCTTTTATACTGTTATTGATAATATGTGGTAGAGTTCATACCATATATCTGTGAAAAACTTTGTAAGAAATTGCACAAATTTGCACAAATTAGTAACTTCAGTAGATCTTTATTAGTAGACAGTATACTTACAAAACTTTGTACAATTTTGTTAGTTAACTTTTTCACAGATATATGCTATTCACTCTACTATCTATATATTCCAGAGCTCTCTACAGATTTAGCACTTTGCTTGGTTTAGTGAATCAATCAGTCTTTGGCTGGCATATAGCAATAGATTACTGTAGTGTAACCCTTTTTTTTAGTTTATATGTTGTGGTACTACAAGGATGTACAGTATTGCCTACCACAATGGACTTCCTGTGTATAATTCTTTAGTACCATCTTCTCATACATTCATTTACACCTGTAGAAACAGTGGGTTATTATTGCATGTGTATTTTATTGGATTCTACTGAAAAATAGAAATATAACTTTCTTCTTCATTGTATTTTAGATGAGAGTTTTGACCTCAAGCACGACAGACCGATGCTTTTGTCCATGGCCAACAGAGGCCCCAATACTAATGGCTCGCAGTTTTTCATGTGAGTAAATGTAAATTATATCCAATAGGATGCCTTGATTGGGATGCCTGAATTTCAGAAAAAGACAGAAAATGCAATTCCAAATAGTTAATAACCTTTGGACCCTAGTTTGTGTGAATATATATATACATGTATGGGTCACAGCATGAGATTATTAAGGTACATTGTCATACAAGACATGCCAAGTATACCTTACCTATACACTGTAAGAAGAGATAACTAGCTAAAAACTAGTGTGGGCTGCGTTGGTGTTTCTAATGAAACAGTAATGATAAAAAGGTAAATTATTTACACTGTGAAAAGATGAAGAAACTTACTGACGTTTTGGACACTAGTCCTTCGTCGGAGTAAACTTACTGTACTGTACTTTACTATCAGTTTTCCAATATTGGTGTATGTATATCTTTTCTATTATTGGATTGCTGGGCCTAAATGTTCAAAGAATGGATATAACCAGGTTTGATCCACACGCCACCCTCATAACATACTCTGGTCATTTTACTGGAAATGGTGTATGTATATCTTTTCTATTATTGGATTGTTGGGCTAAATGTTCAAAGAATGGATATAACCGGGTTTGATCCACACACCACCCTCATAACATACTCTGGTCATTTTACTGGAAATGTACTTTTTGTTTGTAAGGTAATATTGTGTATTGTTTTCCACAGAACAACTCAACCAGCACCACATCTCAATGGGTAAGATAAATAATGATTTACGAGAAAACTGCATAAAATAAGAAAAAGCATATTCAATAACAAACAAGTGCTAGCTGCTGATTGACAAGGGTGATATATAAGTGCACTCATCACTGAGGTTTATGGTTTGATCCCTGGAATTGGTATTGCCTGTGATGATGTACAGGGATCTCCCTTGTAAACTTAAGGGTTTCTCTACAGCTTCTCTGGTTTCCGTCCCAGCACTCCCAAATACAGTACTTGAGGGGATGGGTGCAAAACACACTGTTGTACTTTAACCTTTACACCAGTCTGTTATCTGGACCAACACTCAGGGTCTTAAGATGTCTGAGTAAGAGGTGCTATCTTTGCTCTGAAGATATCTGCAAATGGTTAGAATGGTAAAATGGCAGTCCCATCTAACTTAAAGACGTTAAACATAGAGGGCCACAAGTTTAACATATCTCTTGTCTTCTTTTGTAGTATTCATGTGGTCTTTGGACATGTCATCCAAGGTATTGAGATTGTACAAGATATTGAAAACCAGCCAACCAACGAAAAGAGCCACCCAATAGCTGATATAAGAATCGAGAACTGTGGAGAACTCATCCCAAAATCAAAAGCAAAAGGTAAACACAGTTTAGGAGACAAATGCATTTTCTTTTCCTGGAATTTCATGATGTTGTTGTTGTTTTGCTTATTATTTATCTTCTCAAAAACCTTCACACATTGTGTGTGTGCTGTTGTTGTTATGTACTGTTTAAGTTTTAGGCCACTTTGATGCTTAAATGTGTTTACAATTCTTATAGATTAATAGATTAATTCTTATACACGTAGACTGAAAAATTAATGTGTCATTTCTTCTTTTTAACAGCTGAGAAATTGAAAAAGAAGCGGCAGGTTTCTCCCTCAGATGAGTCTGAAAGTGAGAGTGAATCATCAGATGAAGAAAGAAAGAGAAAGAAAGGAAAGAAAAAGAAAAAAACAAAACAGGTCAAGAAAGAAAAGAAAAAAGAGAAACGTGGCAGTGGTGATGATGACGATGCTGTCACTAGTGGGTAAGTATGTCAAATCCATATTCCATACTGTAGCAGTTCCGTTAATAGGTTTTGGATAACATCAATCATATCATTTCCATGACGTTCCATGAACATGTGCCCTTGCCAGAACACTCAAGAACTGTTGAGAACTAACACTTCTCATGTTCTTCTACTGCATGCTTTATAATGTAACCGCACACAGCATGCGCTCTTACCATTTCTGTTTGTTTTTTTCAATTTTGTAGCGATGGCAAACTGTACAATTTCACATGTGTGATGTGGAAACACTGTAATAAATTTAGAGTATTTATTTCTGGCCATTCTCAGCTTAACCTTGTAGGGTTTTTTTGCTTTGTAATTAAACATGGACATTTTACATAGCAAGGGTCATTCTGATTTACAGGTCTGACAAGGAAAAGAGTGAACCCAATGAAGAGGCTGCACCCTTCTCTGGTAACCCACTGTACATGCCAGCAGTACAGATAGATGCTGTTCCTGATGTACCAACCAGCTCGTTCCTCATGAGAAGAAGTAGAACTCCTTCTCCTGTTAGAGAAAAGAGAAAAGAAGAAATGAAACGGTTGGTGGAAATATCCTCTCTTTATATGCTTTTAAGGCTTGTCTTTTCATGTTAGATATTTGTATAAGGTCAAAATCTTATCAAAATCGAAGTCTCATTTAGGGGTCGCCTTCCCTGATGATGTCCCACAGACTTGCCACAAGTTGTACTTTCTTACTCACTGAAAGATGCTTATTAGCTCAATGGAAGCGAGTACGGAGTGTGAGATGGTTCTTGGAGAGATATGAACGTCGAGTCATATTTACTAACTTACTGAAAGGTGCTTGATAAGCAAGAATGGAGTGTAAGATGGGTCTTTGAGTGACACTAACGACGAATCTGTATGTCTCACCCGTAATTGAAGCCACCCCAGCACAGGAAGTACAGCTATTAAACGATTGTAAATTCATACATTAACCCCATAAAATACAAGGGCAACTTGTTTATTCACATTAATGAAAATGCTAACATACTCCCTCCTCAGAAAAGGCAAGTCCCCTCCTGGATATCGAGCACCACCTCAATCAGTCAACAACTCAAAGCCAAGGGTAAGAGTAACAGTGTACGAAACATTGCTAAAAATGAGTCAGCGGTATGTTTTTAAGTGCCTCACCTAACTCGCTATGCATAGAATGTCAATGTAAAACTCATCGATGAAAGTGGAAATGAAGTTGAAGAAAAATTAGTATATGTGCACAAAGTAAAGTTGTTGCATTTTAGTCTACGTAGTACGTGCAACTTTCTTGTTTACCATTCAGGGTAATGCTTTGAGAAGATATATCATTATACATGTATATGTAAATCAAAAAAGAAATCTGTATATTGTTTTCGGAGGGGGGGGGGGGGGGG